AATCGGAAGTGGACCAAATGATGGATAGTTTACCCGGGGGGTATATATCCGAGGGGTTATTGCTGAGAATAACTTAGAGAGAAGTCAGAGCATAAATAAGTAAGAGAGAGAGTGTATTCAGTATCGATGCCGTGGTTACAAATGGGGAAATGGGGTGCTATTTATAGTAGCAATGAATGCCGGACAGGGACACGTGTCAAGCGTCCATTGACCGAGAGGTCACCTCAACTGGTTGGCGTTGGCAGCCGCATGTGGCCGCATTTAATGCGACTGTTGGATGGGACGTCTGTACAAGGTACGGCGATCTGTACGCATGTGAGGCGGATATCATGTCGGGAGAGGTGCCTTCGGCTACAGAGTAGCAGCCGAGGGCTCCTCAAACCGATGGCACCCTGGTGCCGGGGGCTTCTGGTGCCGAGGGCTACTGTTTTTGCCGTTTTCTCCCAGTTTCTTAGTTTGCTTGAAAAACCCGTTCTGTGAGAGTTTAGAGCCTTCGGCCAGGGGGCCGAAGGCACCCCTGGCGCGTAGTGCGGGCTGCTTGGTACTCTGGGTGCTGTGATTTGGGCTTGTTGGGCCTTCTGGGCCTGTTGGGCCTTTACTGGAGTAGTAGGAGTCTGTGGGCCGGGTGTTCCCGGACCATATACTCCATCAGACCCCACTCAAATAATTGCCCCAAAAAGACCATTTAATTCAATTTTTAACACATTTTTCCAACAATCCCCCACATGAATGAAAATTGATTTTCGAGACTTCAAAAGACACGAAGATAGGAGGACACGTTGTGTTCACCAGATGATCCTTGCATACGGAGAGGTAGGTTTTATCCTTTGAACCTTCCGTTGTGAAGACACGTGTATTTACTGGCTGTCTAGTAGACTCGATGTCCTTGAACTATACTGCCGTCGTGTAAACATTGACTTATCTTTACACAAGAACCTTCCAACTTTGTTCCGTTCTCATGGGTGTGCCCGTTTTGGCCATGGGTCACCGTCCTGGTTCTGCAAGAGTTTCTAAAGAACTGAGCCTTTACAGTTCTCCTTTGAAGCAGCCCTCTTCTCTCTCACATAGGTGATTCTTTCACGAGTATCCCGCATACTCTTCCAATGTTATCGAGTAGATCAACATTTTAGAATCATTAAAGCAAACGTTTTTGCTAACCTCGTGCGGGAGTCACTGTTTTAACGAGGAGTGGGTAGGAGTCCGGGACCCCCACAGTGACCATCCTTCGCTCTATAATTTAGTTGTCCCTTTTGAACCTAGGACCAACTAGGTTAGGTATCCACTATAGAACTTTTCAATTCACGGGCTTTAGTCCCATTCCTCGTGACAACTTCTCCAACAATTCTCTATCCAATGCCTTGGTTAGCGGATCCGCTATGTTATCCTTTGACTTCACGTAGTCAACAGTGATAACACCCGTTGTGAGGAGTTGTTTAATGGTGTTATGTCTATGACGAACGTGTCTAGACTTACCATTGTACATATTGCTCTGTACCCTTCCAATTGCCGCTTGACAATCACAATGTATGCATATTGGAGGGATAGGCTTTTCCCAACTTGGAATATCCTCAAGAAAATGGCGTAGTCATTCAGCCTCTTCAGTGCACTTATCCAAGGCTATTAGCTCAGACTCCATCGTGGATCTAGCTATTAACGTTTGTTTTGAGGATTTCCATGACACGGCTGCACCTCCCAAAGTGAAAACATATCCACTTGTGGACTTAGAGTCCTTTATGTCGGATATCCAACTAGCGTCGCTATACCCTTCAAGTACAGCTGGATATCTTCCATAGTGCAGTCCCAGGTTTTGGGTTTTACGTAAATACCTCAAAATCCTTACTATTTCCTTCCAGTGTTCATCACCGGGGTTGCTAGTATATCTACTTAGCTTACTAACCACAAAAGCAATATCAGGCCTGGTACAACTCATTAGATACATCAGGCTTCCAATAATCCTAGCGTATTCTACTTGAGAAATACACTCTCCACGATTTTTGGTAAGTTGTACGTTTTTATCTAATGGAGTCTTTGCCTCTTGATAATCATCCTTATTAAATTTCATAAGGATTTTATCAACGTAATGGGATTGGCTTAGCGTAAGACCGTCAGGTCCTCTAATTATTTTAATCCCAAGGATTAAATCGGCCAGCCTCATATCCTTCTTGTCAAATTTAGAATTTAACATGCTTTTGGTAGAATTAATCATTAGATTATTGCTACCCACGATGAGTATATCATCCACGTATAAACATAAAATGACATAGCCGTCTATCGTGCTCTTCACATAGACGCATTTGTCACTTTCGTTTATTTTAAACCCATTAATTAACATTGCATGATCGAACTTTTCATGCCACTGTTTAGGGGTTTGTTTCAATCAATACAATGATTTAATTAATTTACACACTTTCCTTTCTTGGCCAGGAACACGAAAGCCTTCGGACTGTTCCATATAGATTTCTTCGTCTATATCGCCATTTAGAAAAGCGGTTTTTACGTCCATTTGATGAACTTCCAATTTCCGCAATGCGGCAATTGCTAGTATCATCCTAATGGAATTTATTCTCGTCACAGGAGAATACGTGTCAAAGTAATCATGGCCCTCACGTTGCTTGTATCCTTTGATTACAAGTCTGGCCTTGTACTTATCGATGGAACCGTCAAGTTTCATTTTCCATTTAAAAATCCACTTGGATCCCAAAGGTTTATTTTCCGGAGGAAGATCAACCAATTCCCATGTGTGATTTAAGGATAGAATCCACCTCACTTTTGATGGCTTCTTTCCACATAGGACCTTCGGTAGACGTCACGGCTTCCGTATAAGTCCGTGGTTCATTTTCTACCAAACATGTTAGAAAATCCGGTTCATTTCCTACCATACATGTTAGAATATCCGGTTCAAATTCTACCAGGTAGGTGATAAAATCCAGTCTGAAGGATTTTTCAACTCTAGCACGTTTGCTCCTTAGCCGTAGCTAATTTGCTATAAACGTCGTACAAAGCATCATGCAGCCCGTTCAACACATAGTTTCGGCAAAGGAAGTCAGAATGCTTCCAAGCTTCAACCGCGTTGAAAGATTGCGCATCCACCTCACCCCCGGTTGCTACCGGCGCATCTTCGGTCAAGAACATTGCAAGTCCGAGAGTAGCGAGATAGAATAGCATCTTTTGCTGCCACCTCTTGAAGTTTAACCCGTTAAATTTTTCGGGTTTCTCCACAGAATTGCTCGGCACGGTAACCATAGGGATTGCCCATTGGTTGCCCAAAGTAGATGCACCGCGTTGTGAACCATTGTTCACCGGTGCTCCACTTTCAGATTGATTATCGTTTGGCACGTTCTGCCCACCAACATTTCCAATTTCTTGCGAAGCCATTTTAACGTTTTCAACGTTTTCCGAAAACACAAAAATTAAGTTCGTTCACCGAAGTGACAAACTACATTTTTAGATTGTTTACCGTAGTACAACAACCAAGGAAAATACTTTTTAGGATTGTTTAGCGGAGTAGAACAATCACCGAATACGTTTTAAGATTGTTGGGTGTGTTTCGGAAAAAACGAAGAAATATTAATTAAATAAAATTAATTAATAAACAAAATAGCTAAAAGAAAACAGAAAATAAGATGGAGCAGATTTTAGCCAGAGCTCGTGCTACGCACGATGTCCTTAAAACGTATTCGTCGCCTCTCACGGTGCTAGGAGCGTTGCAACGACCGTTTCCCAGGATACGGTGGCTAACGAACGATCGTTTGAGCACACAAACGAAAGTCCCGGCGAATTGGAACAATAGCAGAACACTAGGGAAATTTGGGAGTAGCTGGAAGAGTTTTTAGCTCAAGAAAACGTGAGGAATGTATTGTGCGTTGTCAAACCGTGTGTTTGTTGCAAAGCACCTGCCAGCCTTTTATAGGAGGATTTGTTGTGTGTTAAATGGGGTGTTAATGGAGCTGAACGTTGGACATCAATGACCAGTCCGTTGGGCATTGATTCATTCATAAACTGTCCATTTAACGCTGCATTAAAAGATAAGAACGTTGGGCATTTAATGGGTGTAACGGCTTGGAGCAGTTCTGGTGCGCGATCAGAATATCCCCCATCAGAGTTGGAGCAACTCTGATGCTACCAGAATACCTCCACCAGAGTTGGAGCAACTCTGATGCGAAGCCACCAGACTTGGAGCGTCTCTGGTACGAAGCCACCAGAGTTCGAGCAACTCTGGTCCGAAGCCACAAGAGTTCGAGCAACTCTGGTCCTGGGAAAAATAAAACATTACGGGAAGAAACAAAAAATAGACCGTATCTTTGAATGATAGGTTTTCGGACGACATTCATGTCCGCAGGTCGCCCGCGCACACGAGTCGCGGTTTTTCTTCTCCGTTTCGGGATTTGATCGGCACCCCCCCTGCGCGTAAGAGAGAGCCTTTACCCTTAGGAATCTTAACTCCTTAAAAGAGACTTCCCTTTATAAGGGGGTGAAAATCCCTTGAGTTTTTCGGTGTGGGATAAAACACACTATAAACCCATCATTTTCCCAGTTTTTCCATTTCAACGAGTGAATTTCGAGAATCAATTTCTCATTCACCCGTTATCCGTTTTGAGTGTACCATATATCGAATTGTAACCCTTAACAAGGACAATCCGAAACCACTTTGACCCGACCCAAATCGGAAGTGGACCCCACTCAAATAATTGCCCCAAAAAGACCATTTAATGCAATTTTTAACACATTTTTACAACAAAAGCAACATGCGAGTTCAACAAGAAAAAAGATTAGAGAGCAAAGACTTAAAGTTGCTAAAAATTACTCCCTCCGTCCCTAATAACTTTGCTAAGTTTGACCGGCACGGGGATTAATAAAGTAAAAACTGTGTGGTTGAGGTTTGTGTAGAGGAGAGAGAACTAACTGAAACCACAAATTCTTTACTTAAAAGAGAAAGTGGTAAAGTTAATGGAACATCCAAAAAAGGAAAGTTGGCAAAGTTATAAGGGACGGAGGGAGTACAAAATAACCTGTACATGTACACACGGATAATTTTATACGTTGTACTGAGTATATTTTACGGGGGATAATTTTATACGTTGTACGGAGTATATTTTACGGTCACTTGGAGGAGAAGAAAACTTTCTCTTCTTCTCATCTCAAGACTCTGAAAGTCGCTCGCTCAATCTGATCTCCATGACGAAGCAGCAAGCTAACTGGTCCCCTTACGACAACAATGGAGGGTAATATTTACTTTTATACCGCCACAATTAGATTTTCCCTTTTCTGGTTTACTTTGTTTTTTTCCCATTACAATTGAAAGTGTATCAAAATTGAACAATTTGTCCAGAACATGCGTGGCGGTAGCCGGCGCGGATTACTGCGTGATTGCGGCGGATACTCGGATGTCCACTGGCTACAACATTCTCACTCGCGATTACTCCAAAATCATTAAACTGTAAGCAATCCTTCTTCTTTTTAGCGCATCTCCAGAGAAATGGGGACGTTTTCATGCTTTTACTTTCTGAACCCATCTTGAAAATTGAATATTTGATTGGAGTTACATCCTCAAACTCATTGGGGTTTGGTGTTTTCGGAGTATATAGCATATATACCATAATAATCAGTAAAACATTTTTGTGTGAAGCTCTCGTTACTTGTAATGCTCCACCCTCTTAATGCTTGCTTTACTATTAGTAACACTTTGCACATAAAATGAGTGAGATTTCAATGCCTATAGCTTGAAGGGGCTAATAACTTGCTCTTTTACTTAGATTTTGAATCACTGCTTTATCGCTTCCGTCTTAGTATAAAACTATGCTACTGAATCATAAAAGTATCTCTTTTCCCGTCTTTTTAGTATCGTAGATTCTGAAAGACTGGAAACCTACAATACTGCAATTGATTGGTACAATGAAGTACTGAAGACGGTCTAATTGATTAATTGCAAATATAAAAGCATAAGAAAAAGGAAAAAGACTCTTGGACTAAAGTTTCAGCTTAGGCAAATTGGAATTACATCTTATAATATTGTGGAAGTCCTCTCTGTTTCCTGGGTATATCATCTTATTGGTAAATATCAATGACATAATGGTGCAATCTGTTTCAACTATGAATATTTTTCCTGGAACCAATTGCAGTAATAGATAGCATGTAAAACTGTATGAAATTATGCCACTACAGTCCTAGATGTGAGATACTCCTGTGTTGTCAACTTGTGGAGTTTATTTTCTTAAGATTCCACTACAAAGTGAGCCAATTTGGTTACAAAAACTACCTATGCTATTTGGATCCCAACTCAGTGTGTTAACATTAGGCCGAGTCTTTCATCAGGCAGTGTCATACATTGAACATCAAGCTACTTGATATCCTTGAATAGCATAATCAAGCTCATTCCTATAGGGAAACTCACCATCATTGAAAAAATCGTTGAAACTTGAAAACAAACCTTACCACTAAATTGTACTCCCTCTGTCCCATTCTAAGGTTCTCACTTCCTTTTTGGACGTCCCATATAGAGGTTCTCATTTTTGTTTTAGTAAACAATTAACACTTTAAAAATATTAAAAATAATATATCTATAACATCACAACTATCATCAATGGCTTCATTGTTTTTTATCATCAATGGCTTCATTAAACAATATACCCATCAAAATGTTTAACAAAATATACTCGAATTACCTTATTTAATTATTGTCTAAATATTTGTGTCATTTTGTAATGAGAACCTTTAACCGGGACGGAGCTACTAACGAATAGTGTGCACCCCCCATCCACACATGCACAACACAGGTTCCTCACAACCACACTAACATTGCTGGACCTAGGAGTACAGTCAGTGGATGAACTTATATAAAGGATGAACTTATATAGAGTTAGCTCATGTGAAGGCATTAGATAGTTTTATTCATCAGTGTTTTTCAATATATGTGAATTATTCTTTAATGTTGACTTGTTCTTACTTTTGCAGAGCGGATAAATGTGTGATGGCCTCCTCAGGGTTTCAAGCTGATGTCAGAGCTTTGCAAAAGGTCTTGGCATCCAGGCATTTGGTAAACTCTCATCACATTCTGAATACGATGATTTAGCTTCTTATTAATCTCCAAATAGACATGGATATTTTGTGTACCATGTGTCTCTCATTTTTCAAGATCTGATTTCTCCGTGTTGCTGGGTTTCTAATTAATCTGATAAGTGTGCCATGAAGCTGTAATCTGATTAGTACTTGGGTAGTTGGGTGATGATGATTTTTTGTTTTGCTTGTGAAACTATAAGAGACACCACTTATGATTTTAAATGTAAAGGCCTGACTTTTACAACTACTACTAATGAACATATATTCTCTCCTTCCCCAAACTAGCTGCCGTTTTCTTTTGGCACATTTTTCAAGAAAATGAAATTGCGTCCTTAGATTTATTTAGATAGGAACAGGAAATATATCACACTAAATATATTTTTTTCCTTGAAAGAGGACAGACAAAATAACTTTTAGTGGGATGCAAATTTAGTGATGGGAGTATTTACCGTTTCAGGCTCAAAATCCGAAATATGTTATTACCGAAACTTGAAACGATAATTTTGTTTGTTTGTTTTTTTAAATAGACCTATCAACACCAGCACAATAAGCAGATGAGCTGCCCTGCTATGGCTCAGCTACTTTCAAACACCTTATACTACAAACGGTTTTTCCCTTACTACTCTTTCAATGTCATTGGTGGCCTTGATAGTGAAGGTAGCAGTACATTGCATGTCCAACTTTAGTTCTATTTTTAGCTCTTATAGTATTATTTTTGTTCACTTAGTTACTCTTAAAAAAATCTAGGCAAAGGGTGTGTTTTCACATATGATGCTGTTGGATCATATGAGAGGGTTGGTTACAGTTCTCAAGGTTCTGGTTCTACATTGATCACACCTTTCTTGGATAACCAGCTGAAGTCTCCTAGCCCGCTCTTGTTGCCTGCCCAGGTTTGGATTCTCTTTTTCCATAATTTGAACCTTTTTTCAAAAGTGATACTTTTCAAGATTTATTTGATGTCTAATAAACATTAAATTTTGCCTGCCCAGGATGCTGTTACTCCCCTCTCTGAGAGTGAGGCTGTTCATTTAGTGAAGACATGTTTTGCATCGGCAACCGAGAGGGATATTTACACTGTAAGCGTCTGTTCCTTTGTATCCTCCATGCTTTTATCTTACCATGCTTTTGTGATAAGATTGATTATTTGCTCTTTAGCAATGTCGTGCATTTAACCACAACTTTATACTGTGCTTGATTATTTTTATTTGATTTGTGTAATGTAGGGTGACAGGTTGGAGATAGTGATATTGAACTCCCAAGGGATTCGCCATGAAAACATGGAGCTTAGGAAAGATTGAGATTTGGTCAATGATCTATCTTTTCACCCTTTGTGTACCCTTGTGTTCAGAATGCCTGCCAGGATACTCATATTGTCTTTTCAAATTTTATGGATGTGCTTGTATTTAGGTTTTAATTTAAACTACTTTCTTAGGATCATAAAAATGGCAAACAGACTATGGTTGTTTGGTTGATCAACTGTCTCTATGCGTTTTTAACATGAAAATGCATGCTGAAGAATGGGGAGTAAGCATGTCAATCTTCTAATTATCTTTCATTCTTGATCAATATTATTTGTTAGGAATTGGGGAAAATGCAAATTTACGAGGACATGCACATAAGATGATTTTTTTTTTGCACTAACGGCTTGCTTTTAGTGTTTTTTCATCTAATCTTAAAAAGAATATTATATGGTGCTTAATTAATTAAAATGTTATGATCTGTATTATATCATGTTCAGTTTGAACTTTGTTACTTACAATTTCATACATAGATATTAGATACACTACATAAACAGGGCAAGGAAGTCACACTGAGGTGCTTGGGAGACATAGATTCTTGAGTTTCTTGTCCCACATGGGTTCATCTCCTAGCTTTATTAGTCTTTGGCTCTTTGGGTTGATTTATGCATTGGGGTGCTCTCACGTCTGCCCTGGGTTTCAAAGCGGTCATGTCGTGGTGATCGTGGGGGAGCTAGAAATAATAGGTTAGGAGGTTGGGTTTAAAGAATTTAGGGAAAAGTATGGAAAAAGTACTTGTGGTTGAGCCCGTTTTCAGATAAGGTCATGTGTTTCATTCTTTATCAAAATGGTTCATGTGTTTGAATTTCATTATCACAAGAGGGTCACGCCGTTAAAAACATCTGAAAAAGACATTTAAAAGTAACTCTGATTTTCAAAAGTGCTCGAAAAATTAAAAGAGAAACACCGAAAGGTGTGCCTCGTCAAGATGGCATCCAAACCACCTTCGCCTATGGATTTTTCAGATCTGTTTGAATTAGTTTTAAAAATGATTTTGTTAATATCACTTTTCTGATGACTTTCCGGTGACAAGGGTGGTTAAAAATAAAAAAGAAAGATTGTCTAGCGGTCATCTTATTGAGGTGCACCTTCCAGTATTTTTCTTTTAATTTTTCAGGCACTTTTGAAAACCGGAGTTACTTTTAACTGTCGTTTTCAGACGTTTTTAACGGCGTGACCCTCTTGTGATAACGGAATTCAAACACATGAATCACTTTGATAAAGAATGAAACACATGACCCTATCCGAAAACGAGTTCAACCACAAGTAACTTTTCCATACTTTTCCCAAAAATTTATGTTATGAGGGTCAAAGGTTAAAATTTCACCATATTTTTTACATATGCATATACATAAAAAACTTAGGGGGACCGAGCCCCCTTCCAAGTCTCCAACCTCTCCCCATCTCCACTCATGGCCGGAGTAGTGAAGGATGTTTTCGTCACAAAAAAAGATACACTACATAGGCTGGTTAGGTTTCAAGAGTTGGAAAGGACAATTTCTCCACAAAAAAATGGAGGCTTTTTTTTGTGAAAAAAGGTAATGTTTTTTCAAGAGAATTTTATAGAGATTACTCAAAATAGGACTAAAAACGTTCTTAAATTCCAAAATAGGACTACCATGTTTTTATTCCCAAAATAGGATTAATTACTGCCATGTTTTGATAGTACCAGACCTTAAATATGGCAGTATTTTTCAAACTTGAGAGTAATTACTACTATTTCGGGAATAAAAACATGATAGTCCTGTGTTGGAATTTTTAAACTTTTTAACTTCTATTTTGGAAATTTTCCCAATTTTATATTCGTGGATTTTGGCTTGTGACTAAACAATGCATTTCCAGGAATGATCAAGGAGAACGAACAAGACGATAATGAGAGAGATAATGAGAGAACGTAATCAACACAGTACGTTTAAGGTCATCTGTGAATCCTGATTCAGATTCAAACTGAATCGAGTTGAAGATCAACAGCCCATCGTAATAATGTCTGGAACTAGTTAAATTAATGATAATAAAAACATACTACCTCCGTCCCAAAAAATACTTCCCGGTTTGATTTGTCACACTTATTAAGAAAGTGGAATAAAGTGAAAATGTATGTTTTTAGTTGTGTAAGAAAAAGGTAAAATTAATGTCACCCACACAAATTGTCCAAAAATGAAAAGTGAGAAGTATTTTTTGGGACGGAGGGAGTCGTGAGAGCACCCCAATGACACAATTTCCTAGCTTTATTACTCGGCTAGCAAATTGAATTAAATCAAACACAAATTTTGAGTTCATTTTTTACCGAATTGATGTAAAGTGGTAACCTCTATCAAGCTTGAATATCACACAAGTTTTGGCAAGAAATTATTAAACAAAACAAAAAAAATCAACAAACAAATCGGTTGAAAATTGAGATGGATTAAAGGGTTTAAGAAAGATAATCAGGGGAACAAGACGCATGGGAGAAGATGACGGGGGAGGTTATACAAGGAAAAGGTCTTTTTGTTTGAAGCTTCTAAAAAAAGTAAAAGGATCAAACACAAAATTAGAATCTTTTAGAGACTTTTAAAATACTCTGCAATAGATAAGTCAGAAGCTATCAACTTTTGTATGCCAAACATAGACTTAGTAATCCTAGTCAGAGATTATAATAAGTTCTTATTCTAAAAGCTTCCGTATATCTCTCATAAGCAAAGTTCCGATCCTTTTTTATTTTTTGCTTCCACTAATAATCTTGCTATATTTTTTGCACGCCATTTTTAGATGATATTTGATTTTGCACTTATTTTCAAAATCATTAATGTATGCACCCCAATTTACTATATAGTATAAAATCATTTTACATTGCACACACTCTTTCACAATTTTTGGGCTGATACGATGCACACATTAATGATTTTGGAATGATGTGGATAATCCGATATTGCCCAAAACATGGTGCCTGGAGTCAAATTTGCTCTTGTATGTAATTAATCTATGGCCTATGGGAGTTTCATGACAAGTATTGAAGCCTTGAAGCTACAATTATTGACAATTTGACAGTGTGAAAACATGACTTGCCCTATTATAAACCTAACTTAGTCAGCCTAGTACTTCTTGTAATTATAAACCTAGTTTTACATTTTCTTCTGCATATATAAGGCAGTCCAAGTTCACCGGAAAACGATGAAATTCATGCATAGCTAGGGAATAGGGATGGAGTTGGATGGAACTAATAATAATTGTTATAAGCTAAGCAAAGATTATTCAAGAGTCACAGTCAACCAACTGCCCTAATGCATTAAACCAACACATCCTTTGACTTTATATGCTTTCACTCATGGTAAGGCTAATTTAAAATAAATCCAAGCTTCATTGACTTGGTCACTTGTTGACGAATTACATGATGCAAATAATTAAGAATCTTGACCAACTCTAATTCAATGCTCCAAAGGTTGAATCCTCAACCCCAAGGGCCCCCCACACCCCGAGCCGACATGATTTTTGGGAGGATGTAAGTCACGGTGACTCAGTCGGTCCAATGATAGTAGATCTTATACCTGTGCGCACCAGAGGTTGCCCAGCACGCAAGAGCTGTAACCTCCACACGGCCGCTGCGTGTTTCAAACCTTGCCTAATGTTTTTAACTTCCCACCACTGAACCAACTGAGCTAACCATGCGGGTTGACCAACTCTAATTCAAAACTCTATCCAAGTGATCTCAAGTTTAGAACTTTTGCTGTTTTGCACACTTTGCAACTAATATATATACTGAATAGGTACTCCCTCATTTTCATCACACAAAGCCAACCATAAAGTGCATGCAGTACTATTACATTAACTAATAACCCCTTTCCTGTTTTGAAGAACATAGTAAAAACAACAATGGTTGTATCAAAGGGAAGTTCCTTATTTGTGATCATCACTATTGCTCTTGCTCTTCTTGGCTTGGCACGACTTTGCCTGTGTAGCAAACTCAGCTATGGGTATGAGCCCGCGGGTTACTTATATCCACAGTACTACGAGCGCTCATGCCCAAGAGCACACGAGATCGTCAAGACTGAGGTTGCCAAGGCCGTTGCTAAAGAAGCACGCATGGCCGCTTCTTTGTTGAGGCTCATCTTCCATGACTGTTTTGTCCAGGTAGCCCAAATCTCTTTGCAAATACTTCCGTTTTCGTGTTCGTTTAGGAGGAATTTTCATCCTAAAAGGTCAACATGATAAGAAAAGTACCTCAGAATTTTAATACGACACTTTATTATTTCATATTTTACCGGTGTATGACTTCAACAACAAAGTATTAGATCATAACAACAATTATTGATAACGAGATTTAATAAAAGAGATTTATGATTCCCACAACTTACTAATTAAGCAGGGGTGTGATGCATCACTACTACTAGACAGCAGTAGAGGCATAACAAGTGAGAAGAGTTCTAACCCCAACTTAAACTCAGCTCGGGGTTTTAATGTGATTGATGATATCAAAAGTGCCTTGGAGAAGGAGTGCCCTCAGACGGTCTCTTGTGCTGATATTCTTCAACTTGCTGCCAGGGATTCCACCCTTCTGGTAAATGAATCTTGTTAATTAATTAGCTGTGTATTCTACCAAATTATTTATTTCCCAAATTATCCTCTTCAGAATGATACTCAAATACACTCCTAGAGTAAGAGCGTGTTTGTAAGGATGTAAAATAATTACTTTGCATGCGAAATGTAGAGAAGTAAAAAGTTTACACTGCTTGACTTTATTATTTCATGTAAACTGTAAGATACTTTTTAAAAACATTTTGCATTATATTATATAAAATATACTACATATTACTTTGGGGAGGGTGTTAAAATAGGTTGCATACTACGGAGTATTTATAAAGCATTACAACGATTTTGTGCACAACTTAAAAATAAAATATTCATCTAACACGATAATGTAGTAATATGTTCTATATGTGAATTGATTATTTTCCTAAACTTTGCATGAAATCATTTAACATGTAAAGATTTAACATGAAAAGATTGAGGTTCTTATATGGGCTTTTTATAGCGAAAACATCGCATTTGACCATTAGTTTCTGAACATACCATTGACTAATTGTTTGTTTCATTACACCTTTTCCAAATAGGTACTGCGGCTCTATCCGTTTCATAATTTTATACCGTTCCCTCTTTAGATTACAACATCCAAAGAGCTTTTTACGTGCTTTGGTATTTCGATTCATGTCATGTGACATGATTAAGTGATATTGTTACTCGTCTTGTGCGTACCACATTTCCCCCTTTATCCTGACTTAAGACATGCGTGATATTAAAAATGATCTCATGGCGAAGATAACGTTCAATCTTTAGATTGTCCCAATATTTTTTTTTCTTTTAAGGA